TGGACAAAAGGCTGCCGGTTTTTTCTTAAAAACCCTCCAGGAATGGAGGCCGCACAGCTTCTCAGCCGGAAGCTAATCCCCTCTTTCTCAGGCAGGGGGAAAGAGAAAATCCCTCCCCAGTAAAAGCTTCCGGCCTTTTTTATTTCCTCTTTCAGAAAATATTATTGGCCCAAACTTGGTTTGTGCTTCATAAGCAGCCGCCTTGCCCTCTTCTGTCCACGGGGGGGGGGGGGTCTCTCAGAAGGCCTCCCTGGTGCTCTGAGGGCCGCGGGGGGCTTAGTTGCAGTATATGGAGTCTGAGAATTTTATGTCTGTTTCATCATTTATTTATCCCTTTATTCCTTCCTTCAAACTCTACGGCCTCCCATCTCACCCAAGTGACTCTGTGTGGCTTACAAGTCTGGAAGAGTTAGGAGAAGGGAGAAAGCCATGCAGACGAAGAAATGAGACCCAGGGGCCGATGGCTCAGGGGCCAAAGAGCCCGGCTCCTCTTCCTTCATCCCCGTGGTGGGATAAGCAGATAAACAGGCTCCCCTTGGCTCCCAGGCTGGCCTCAGGTCCCTGGAGAGCCTCAGCCGACCAGGCTGGCTCCCTCGGCTGGGCCTTCCCTTGACTCCCCTGGGCTGCCCAAGTGGCTGTCCCAAGGGGCCCTTGGTGGAGGAGCGGCCCGGCTGGAAGGAGAGTCCGGGGCCTTCGGTTCCCAATGGCCGCCCTGCCTCTCCCATGGCGGCGGCTGCTGCTTTTTCGGGTGGCAGAGACGACGGAGGCCCCCCCCCCATCCAAGGCTGCAAGGGAGGCCAAGAGGGTGCCGAGGGCGCCATCTAGTGGCCTGTCACTTTGAAAACTACCTCCAGCCGCGTTTCGCGTTTCGCAACCGTGGCAACTTTAAGCTTCTGCTTGTCTAAATGTGTAAGACTTCAATTCCCAGAATTCCCCAGCCAGCCGAGTTGGGCATAGAGTGAGGATCCATTCCTTGGATCGGACTCTTCCTCTCATTTCTTCCTTTATTCCATTCGCCCAATGTGTCTGCTGCTACCACATTCCCAGGGATCCTGGCGGGGGGGGAAAGGGCAATACCCCTTCCAAAAATTAAACAGATTGGATAGGAACGAAGCGGAGGGCCCTCATCCTCCCTCCCTCCCCGAAGGCCTGGGATAAAGACCAACTCTTCAAGCCCCTTGGGAACAATGGCAGGGTGGGGGGCCGCCCACATCTCGGGGGAAACCTCGGGGCAAGCCCTGTGGCACAGAAACGTACTTCCAGGGCCCCCACGGACGGCACCGTTCCATTGGAGGAACTGTGTGGGAGCTTTCAAGAAGAGGCTGGGCTGCCGTTTGTCAGAAATGGTGTAGGGTCTCCTGTTTGGGCTGGACTAGATGCCCTACAAGGTCCCTTCCGACTCGGTTAATTTAATCTGGTCTAAACCCGGCCACGTTGAACCGGTGGGCGGGGGCTCCCTCGTCAGCAGGCCCTGTGCCAGGGAGGCCTCGTGGGTGATGACCGGCCCCTTGAGTTGCAGAGCAATCCGTCCGGGGCCGGTTGGGATTCCTGGGGCGGCTCCTCATAGGAGGGTTTTGCAGGAGTCCAGCTGTGCGGAGGGGGCAGGGGGCAGCGGAGGGGGGGGGACGCTCGGCCTGACCCTTCTGCTTCCTTCCAGACTACCAGCTGAGCAGCGCGGAGCTCTCCTCCCTCCCGGCCTTCAGCTCGCCCACCGGCCTGTCCCTGGGCAGCCTCTCCGCCTGGCAGCCGCAGCAGATGCAGCAGCCGCAGCAGCAGATCCCGGTCTCCCTCAGCAACCTGATGTGAGTGGCTCCTCTGGGCCGGGAGGGCTCGGCTGGGGTGGGGCAGGGGCTTCCCCCCCGAAGGCAGCATTGCAGGCATTTCGAGCCGTGGGGTTGGAGGAGGGAGGGAGGGAGAGACGAAGAAAGAGAAGGGTGGTGCTAGATATTCTCAGGGGTTGCAAAAGTCCATGAAAACAGGCGTTTCTTGAGGCATCTCAAACAGACGGAACTTCCCAGCTTTTTCTTTTCTCTGAAACTGGCTCTGCCTCCGTCCTCCAGGAGGGAGATTCTCCAGCTTCTTCCTCTCTAAGGAGGGCAGGGCAGGTGGGCAGCCTTGGGGGGGGGGGGGGCAAATGACTGGCTGTGGAGCCCCCACCGCCACTTCAGGCAGAAATTCTCAGCTGCCGGGAGCTCCCTGCCTCCGTCTGCCCCCCCACACACACACACACTTGTGTCCTGCACATCCCTCTTTGGACGAGGCCACAGAAGGATGATGGCCAGGGGACCCTGTGACAGTTGGCCAAATTGATCCAGGAAGCTCAGCAGCTTCTGTGGGGGCAGCCAGTCCAGAGCCCTCCAGCCGCTTTGGCCATGGACCTCTTCTGCCCTGGACACTCTCGTCCATGCTGTTTCCTTGGCATCAGAATTGTGATTTTGAGGGACTTTCCAGACAGACCCCCAGGCTGGCTTTTCCTGGTGGTCTCCCACCCCAGGACGTTCCCCGTTTGACCCTGCTTAGCTTTCCCAGAGCCTCCGGCCTTGGCCCAGAGCTGCCACCCAGCCGGCTGCCCTAAGAAAACATACCCTAAAGCCACACCTGACGAGAATACTCTTCCCATGACTTGCTCTCCTGCTCCCAGATGTTGTAGAGAGGATGCTCTGAAGACTCTTGTTGGCCTCCGAAGGCAGCCATTGGGTAAACCCTATGGACACTCTAAGGCCGGGATGGCGAACTGTGGCACAGGGGCCACGCGGAGCCATTTCTGAGGGCACAAGGGGCGTTTGCCCTGTCAGCTCCAGCCCATTTCGGTCTTGGCTTTTGCCCGCTGTTTGCCCTNGAAAACATTCCAGGAAATGGGAGCAGGGAGAGCCCTGGGCAGGCCTGCGCGAGACCCGGGGGGGGGAGCACTGGGGACCACTTTCCCTAGACCCCCCCCCTCTGCTGGTGGGGCTTGGGCAGAGTGCGAGGCAAGGCCTCCCCCCCCCCCCTTCACAGAGGAGGTTAAACCTGCCTCCCCTCCCCAAAGTGTTTGTATTACTCCAAGGCAGCCTTTCTCCATTCTGGCCATGATGGGCGGACTCAAACTCCCAGAATTCCCCAGCCGGCATGGAGTTGAGCTCTGCCCATTTTAAAGTTGCCAAGGCTGAGAAACTCTCCTTTAAGGCTTGTGCCAGGGACTGTGGGCTGCTGAGCCCGCCATTCCCCTGACTCCTCGGCCCCTTGAAGGCCAACTGGGTGACGGGGCCGTGGGGCTTCTGCTCTGCGGCTCAGATGGACCCGCACAGCTGCTGAGGCCAGGAGCAGCCAGGCAGCGGCTTGGGGGGGGGGAGGAGGAGGCCTGCAGCGCCAACTTGTGTACCAAGCCCGGTGAAGGGCTTTCCTGAGGGCTGGAAGAATGCCAGGGCAAGAGGGTGCAGAGAATGAGCCCTACAGAGGGCTTTTGGAAGGTGGCTGGTGCCCTTTGCCCCTTGGCAACTGCCATGCTCTGATGGCCGAATGAAGTTTGCGGGCTAATGCCCGCCTCTGGCACGTTGGCACCCTGGCCTTGTGGTGAGGAAAGGGCTGATGATCTCCGGTTGGCTCTGGGGTGGGCCCAGGCGGCTCAGACTGACTTCCCGGCTTAGGGCTGGTGGTCCTTGCCCAGTCCGTCTGTCCAAATTGTTTCCGGACAGCTGGTGCTCCAGGGTGGACCTGCAGCAGCCAGAAAAGCTGGGCTTATTTCAGGGAGCTGTAATTTGAATGGGCCGCAGTGGAGAAGGGAGGCAGCCACGCATTTCCCAACATGGCAACTCTCGGAACGGCTTTGTCGTCTCCTGCAGGCAACGGCTACGTCAGCGCCAGGGCCTCCCCGAATCTCCTCCCCGTCTCCAATGGAAACAGTCTCGGCAAGGCCGTCCCGGCGAAGTCGCCCCCACCGACTCCCCAGCACAGCAACCCTCTGGCCACCAACATCCGCAAGCCGGACCTCCGCGTCATCACCTCCCAGGGCGGGAAAGGCCTCCTGCACCACCTGGTGAGTCCAGCCTGGAAGGTCCGGCCTTTGAGGGCTCCGAAATTCCTTCTCTGCGAATGCCCAAAACTTCCCCTTCCATCAAGAGCCTCGAGTGGGGAGGAGGCCGTTTGTGAAGGGAGATGGCCGGGCAGCTTTGGCCAGGCTCTTGGGCCCTTTGGGAAAGGGAAGTGGGGAGAGGGGGGCTCGCCAACGTTTATGGATCCACTCCAGTCTGGACCCCCCCCCCCCCCTTTTCAACAGCTGCCCTCAAATAGGCCGTCTGGGTCTGCCTAAAGAAGATGCATTTTGTGGGCAGAGCCTCTCGGCGGGCAAAATTCTGCTTTCTACCTCTTTGCTTTAAAGATTGCAGGAATCCACTTTGGTCTAGCAGAATTGCTTTAATCTGTTTGTCCAGCTAATTAATGGCATAGATCTGCAACATTGCAATGCTGGCGAGGGAATTCTGGGAGTCTTCAGTCCCCAGAGGAGATCTCAGAGTTACCAGGGCTGGAGCCTCTGTCCCAGATGCTTTGTCAAAGGGGGGAAGTGGGGGGACTAGGACAATCCCAACATTAATTTCTTCCCTTGGTGTTTCCTGCCTGGAAGTTCCCCAGACTTAAAAAAGAGATAAGAGGAATTAGCACAGGAGTGACTTTTAAAAAAAAAATTTTTTTTTTA